TAACATTAGAGTTGATTCGAGTTTACTAGTGAGAAGGTAAAATTGGTCTAAGAACACCTCGAACTATACATAGTAGACAAAAGAGTTATGCGAGGCCTTAAAAGGAGACATATGGAGTTCCAAAATAGTGATTTTATGTTTCTTCAAGTTTTTTTGATGAAGGGAGTAAAGTTATTTGGCAAGAAGAGAAAGCCGAGCTCGAGGTATATTAGATTGTTTGAGATCGTTAGTCGAGCAATGGTTTATGAGTTGGTATTACCACTAGAGTTTTCGAATGTACATCATGTGTACCATAGTTCTATGCCAAGAAACTATGTGCCCAACTCTTCTCATATCTTAGAATCATAATTGGTAGATTTAAATCCTAATTTGTCATATGAGGAGCAACTGATAGTAATAGTATATCGTCAAGTTAAGAAATTATGTAATAAGGAGATTGTGTCTATTAAGGTCATTTGAAGAAACTATTTGATCGATGAGGCGACTTGGGAGGCTGAGAAAGAAACGAAGAAGAAATATCATCACTTGTTCACTTACCGAGGTATGGTTAGAATTAAATTGGTGGATAAATTTTCTTAAGGAGGGAGTATGTAATAACCCATCCTAAGATGATATTAACTTAGAAAAAACCATAAACAAGATTATTAAAGTCGGGTTTAGTTAGATTAAAACTTGAAAGGTTTAGAGAGTTTAGAATTTAAATTGGGATTGAAGAGCCAATTGTCAAAGGTAAGCATTCTTATCAATTGGTCTTTAAAATGAGATGTTTATATGTGTTTATTGATAAATTTTAAGTTGATTTATATTGGGTTATTTGTTAGAATGAAGAATTGAGTTAGATTAGTATTAGTGTTTTGAGACCCATTTATGAAAAAAGTTGTTTAGGTGATTCTAATAAATTAAATGATGTTTAATTGTTATGGGTTAGTGATTTATGAAGTTGAATGAGGTAAATTTAACTTATTTGAGAGCTTGAAGATAATGAATAGTGAAAAATTCAAAATTGGGTTTTGGATTGAAAAGAATTTGAGAAAAATAAAGAATTAAGTCTGTATAAATACAATCAAAGAAGAATGAAAAGAGAATTGAGTAAATTAGAATGAAATTTATGATTTAATTGAGAATTGATTGTTTAACGTTTGAATTAAATTTAGGAATTTGATGGTTAAGTAAGTGTTTATACTAAGTGGTGTTTGAAATGATGTTTACTGGTCATTTTGGAATTGTCTTAAATTGAGTTGTCATTAATTGAAGATTGAGATAGGTTAAGGTTAGGATTTAAATTGAATTTGAGAAAAGATGGTATATGTGAAGATTGATTGAGAACTAATGAAGGAATATAGTTAGGTAATTGTTTAGAATTGAGTGAGAGAGTATGAGTTTAGTTAGAGTCATTGGGTAAAATCTTCCAATCAATTTAATTCTTATAAATAATATTATGTCTCAATTTCTAGAATAATTCATTTGTTTTGAATTATTCTTCGATATGTGATATTGATTATTATTATTTCTATCATTTTGTATTATTAGATTCTTTAGAGCAGACGACTCCGTCTCGGTAACCTTGATTTCGTTTGATCCTTTTTGATTGTACTATGATTGGATAGTATATAACATATTATGCTTTTAAATACCTTCGATATCTCTCTCATGCATCATTAATTCATATATGATATAATCATATTCATTAAAACTTAGGCGAGAATAGATCCTATGAGTATTTGAAAGAATTTCGTATCGAAAATGATTTGATATGATTTAAAAAGGGATTTGAATATATGTTTGAACAAGTTTTTACTTATGGATTTGAATACTAATTTACTTTAGATTTTTTTTTGATTTATTCTTATAATTTTTTTTTAATTTGTTATTTGATATTGAATTATATTATCAAATATGATTTTAAGTATGAATTGTATTTGATATATTGGATTTGGATATTTTGAGATACATATAAGTTTTGTGGTTTTCAATTTGATTGGTTACCTTGGGGTACCTAGCTATGGAGGCATAACCTATGAGTTTACCGATACGTAATGCTTCGACTAGTAGAAGAGGTGTAGTACTAGCTTATGTGTCGGCCAATATACAAAAACCTAGCTAGGGGTGTAGCTTTTGGGTATTCGCATCCAATGGTATACTATTTTTTCACCCCAAGTGTAATTCGGACATTTGATTTGATTTGATATATATATATATATATATATATATATATTTAATATGATTTGGTTTTGAACCATTTAAGATATGATATGATATTTGATATTTATGATATGCAATTAATTTGGAGAAATAACCATTGCATCTTGAGTAGAATTTTAAGTTATCATCCTTAGTCTATTTTCCTTTCTTATTATGTTATATAGTATTTACTCATTAAACTGTTGATTTGCTCACACTTCACCATTTCAATTTTATAGGTTTGTGAAATTGCCTTTTTACTTCTACTAAGTCGTTTGCCTTGAAACCAACAAATTAATTGTGCGACTCATTTACTTATAATCCTTAGGACTTAAGATTTGATTTTATTGTATCGATTAGAAGCTCTAAAGTTATACTTATGGAAGTTGTATTAGAATTGGATTATGGATATGTTTAAGCATTGTGATACCGATTTGTTAGAATAATGAAAATAGATGTTAAATTGGAAGTAATATTCAATGTGATATAGGTTTAAGAATTATAGTTTAGACATTCAAGGCTTACTTGAGTCGAGGTGACCCTCACAATTCCCTCGATTCTTATGCCATTCATGGCCCATTTCGAGGGTCATGACAATGATACGATTCGAAGCCGATGATGACTTCTCACTTGTGTGGACGAAGTTGTTAGAGACTTCCTAAATGATGCAATTCGAAATCGACAATGACTTCCCATTTGTGGGGAACAAGCTACTAGTGGCTTTTAAATATTTGAATTACTTTTGTTTGTGTGAAACTAAAGTTATCACTAGCTTTTTACTTGTGTGGACAAAATTGTCTATAGCTTCATAATTTTGTGAAATTGAAGTTGTTAGGGGCTTTTCACTTATGTGATCGAAACTGCTAGTGGCTTCCAAATATTTAAATTACTTCCTAATTGTGTGAAACTAAAGTTATTAGTGGCTTTCCATTTGTGTGGATGAAGTTGACGGTGACTTCCTACTTTTGAAATTAAAGTTATTGGTGACTTTTCACTTGTGTGGATAAAATTATCGTTGACTTCCTACTTTTGCAATTGAAGTTATCGGTGCCTTCCCACTCTTGTGGATGAAGTTGTCGGTGACTTTCTACTTTTGAAACTAAAGTTGCTAGTAGCTTTTCACTTGTGTGGATGAAGTAGGAGACAGACTTCTTACTTTTGAAACTGAAGTTATAAGTGGCTTTCCACTTATATGGATGAAGTTACCGGTGGCTTCCTAAATTCGATATGATGTAGAAGAAAGCCTCCTATTTTTGAAACCGAAGTGGTCCGTAGCTTTCCACTTATATGGATGAAATTGTCGATGGCTTCCTAAATTCGTAAATCAAAGTTATAGGCAACTTTCTATTTATCTAGACCAAGTTGTCGATGACGTTCTATTCATTGTAAAGTTGTCAATGGCTTATTAATTCCTAGAGGCTTGTCTATTTATCGATACAAGTTTTCAATCGTTAGAGATTAGCTCAAAATATCAATTTATACCTATTTTTTCTAAGAACTTAGAGTATGGATGTAGACTTTTAACTAGCCTAAACCAACAACACTAACATTGTATGCAAAAACACCGATTGTTACAACATTCAATCCATGAAAAAAAAAAAGAAAAATCATGCAAAGTCAATAAATTCATGAGCCACATGGGATTCTACGTCTCTAAATATAGACTCATATAAGTCTTTGTTAAAAAAAAAAAAAAAAACCATGTGGGTGAAAAGAAATGCATTGCTTCATAGCGTTTTCCCGCGTTACACATTTTCCTAAAAGTTAATGTCAGCCATGAAAACTAACAATTAATAAATACCAAGCGGGAGAAAAGAAAAGGCAGATAAGAGTGATTAATCTCATTTTCCTAGTATGAAAGAGCTCTGGCAATGTAAGAAAACGACAAAAATGTCTCGAATCCCTCTTCAGTCGTCTCTTATATTGGGCTAGTGCTACCTAGTGATGGTAGTTAACAAACAATATAATACAGTTGGAATTGACTTTGTATGAGCAATTGAATATCATTAGCTCGAATATAAAATAAAAAATAGAAAAAAATCTTAACCCCATCTATTTCAAGAGCCATTTCGTTTAGAAGTTGCACAATTTTCACTCTCCCTAGAGCTCGCTAGAGAAAAGGGGGATCTCCAACCGATCTTGCATGCCAATTCTGTTTGTAAGTAGCGAGAAGCTTTTTTTTTCCTTAGAAACTTTCATCTTGGTTCTAGGAGTGTGAATGCATGCGCCCATAAATAATTTTATAAAGCAAAGATACTTCAAAATTATTCCACTTCTTGATACGTACCCATACTTCAAAAATGAATCCTAAATTAATAAATAATAAAATATTATTATGGATATGTGAGTATGATTTGAAAATAGTTTTGTGAATATTAGGGATACTTCATTCGTACAATTTAAATTCTTTACATTATTGGAAATTTTTTAATAGTTCATAGTTTTTGTATATTCTTGATGAGCAAATGCTATAATGAAAGTGTGTTTTGGTTTTTAATCTTTATTCTTCCAAGACTTGATCCATCACCGTCTTTGTGAGTGAAGGAGTGTCTTTTGGGCAATACATGGAACAGCTGAAGTATTTTGTATATACAAGAAGAAAGTAAAAGGGGCAGATTTTGAACGGCAACAAGAAGAATAAGGAGTTGAGGGAGAGCTTGAATGGTTATTTCTCTTGAACCAAAACCTCGTATTTATTTGGCTGTCTGGAGTTCAGCACTCTATGATTGTAATTCATAATGTCTTTAATGTTGTAGGTCAACAGCTATTATCATAGTTAATCGAGCCACTATCAACACATCACGGCCCACATTACAGCAATGGCTGAAACGAATCTAAGTGAAATAAAGATCGACCTCAGTTCATTTTCTTCGCGTAGTAAAGATGACATGTTGAGACAAGAGACGAATGAGGGTGAAGAGAATGAGAACAACCAGTTGCATCAAAGTGAAATAAAGATCGACCAGATTTCACTTGCTCTGGAGAGTGGGGATGACCCCTTGAGAGGAACGGCAAACGAGGGAGATGAGAAGGAAAACAACCAACTGCAAGGGGAAATGGTCCAGGAGGTTCCAAGAGCTGAAACACAAGAAAGCAGTAATTCCATCAAGGTTGAAAGTTCACTTCCTTCGTGGCTTAGCAAAACCGAGGAAGAGATCATAGAGCCGATAAATAACCAACCCGTAATGCCGAAGATTCCTAGGGTTCCAAGAAAGGTTCTTGAAGAAAGAACCACGAAGTTCTACCATCCCTTGGCAGTCTCGATTGGTCCTTGTCACTATTTTGATCGTAAGAAGAAGCTTGCACAGGTAGAGAAACTCAAGTCTCTAATGATGCAACAGTTTGTACATGAGAGTAAAATGACGAAAGAAGGTTACCGCCAAGTAGAAAAGGTGGCTTTAGACGCAAGGAGATTTTACTCTAAGACAACAACAAAAAAATTCAGTGATGAGGATTTCACCAAGATGATGATCATTGATGGTTGCTTCATTCTCCAATTCATTCACTGTCTTAAGAGCGAATATGAAAAGTTGGAGATGACTGATCAACAAATTATTCATGTGAAACGAGACTTGTTATTATTGGAGAACCAACTCCCTCTTTCAGTCCTGGAGTCATTGATGAGATTGAGGTACGAAACAGAGGATGAGGGAAAACAAATCATCGATTATTTTCTCTCTCTGCATGTTCGCCAACCAGTTGAACAAATTCCAAAGTGGGTCTGGATAATCTTGACTCCAGTACAGTTGGTTATGACCCCGATCATAGTGCTGTTGTTAGTACCTTTAGTAGTTCCTTTATGTTGTATAATTTGTTGTTGTTGTCGTGGTGCATTCAAGAACCTTCTACAGGATATAGATCAGGCACCACCACCACCAAGAGCAGATTTAGATCGGTCAGCATCTCCTTTAAATCGGTCTACACCATCCGAAGAGAAAAAGGAAGCCACAGGAGATGATGAAAAGCCTGCCCATCTTCTTGGACTTCTGTATTCCAAATTCATGAGTTCTCAAGAAGGAAAGAGAACCAAGCGCCCTCATGGAAGCCGAGGCCATTACTTGTTTTATTCTGCCAAGAATCTTAAGAAGGTGGGGATTCGATTTCGTCCGAGCGAGACGGGTGCTTTGACGGATGTCAAATTCAATCCATCCTATTTCTCTGGAACATTGAAACTTCCTCCAGTTACCATAGATGCATCAACCAAGTCCATTCTCTTAAACTTGGTGGCCTATGAGACATGTACTGCTGCTTGTCAACTTTGGGTCACTTCATATATATGCTTCATGAATTCGTTGATTGAGGACGCTGAAGATGTGGAGGAGTTGCGATCTAAGGGCATACTGTTTAATTATCTCGGATCAGATCAGCAGGTAGCAGATCTTTTCAATAATATGAGCTATTCCATGAAGCCTGATGCTGCTGCTTACAATGATATTAAAAGGGACATTAATAAGCAATGTGAGAGCATCATCAAGAGATGGGTTTCTGAGTGGAAGAGAACTTATTTTAGGAGTCCCTGGACCGTTATTACAGTTCTTGCTGCATCTCTTGGGTTGGGACTAACTGCTGCTCAGACCTATTATGCAATACCCTGATTAACATTTATATGCAGTACTATTGGTGATTTCTCCGTTAATCGAGCAGCCTCTATATATAAACATCGATTTTCGTTTGTTGTTTTAATTTCTGCCTATGCTTCTGTAAGATGCCTCATTCACTTTTGCTACTTTTTCTTCCATCTTAATAAATCCCGCGGCAAGAATTCGGTAGTCGGTCTTGTTCCTGTTTAGTTTTATGGCGTGACAATGTAGGAGCTATCTATCTATCTCTCTCTCTCTCTCTCTCTCTGCTTATCCTATCTTTTAATCCTACTTTCCATGCAAGGACTAAGCATACTCAAATAGATTTTTATTTTATTAAATTATAAAAAACCATCAAATAGCAATGACTCAACGTCCATCGCTGAATTTAAATAGTAAACAAATAGGGATAAAATAACGTTTGTTAAAATCAACGACGAAATAGCGATGGATTAGTAATAGTTTATTACACTATCAGAATTTTGCTAATTAGTGACAAACGTATAACAAGACTATAGCAAAAAAATATCGACTATTGGATTCAACAACGTAATAAAGATGGAATAGTGATGGATACCATTTCATCGCTATATTTAGCGGTAAAATCTTTTTGAGAGTTTTAGAGAAGCTTTAGCAACAAATTTATTAAAAAAAATAACGATGGATATTACATTGTTAAAAGGAATATCCCTCGCAATTTAGCGGTAGAAAAATCCATCGCTAAAGGTTAGATTTTGAACAAAATTGGGCGATCGTTTTGAAAGGTTAAACCAGTCCAATTTACGATGGATTAGCGATGAACATTTACTTCGTCACTCTATTTGAAAAAATGGGCATCCAATTATTGGAATTTGACTACTCATTTTGAGATTGAATAGCGACAAACGTAAGTGTCTATCGCTAAATAATGGTAGATCAACGAGGGGATCACATCCGTTGCCATTTTTCAGCCCTAATTAATCCGCTTTCTTCTTTCCCCCTCCCTCATTTCTTCTCCCTCTCCTTCTTCAACCAGCAGCCGCAATTCTCCCACCTCATCCAAATCACCACTAAACTTCACTCCTCCACTCTCAATTGATCCACACCCACTCTAAAATCTTTTCTCCTAAAAAAACCTCGTTTTTCCTTCCTTCCTCTTGGTGTAATTCCATCTAAATTAGGTGTGTTTTATTTCTCTCTTTTATTTTATTAATTAAAGTTAGCAATTTATTGCAATTCTTTTTGTTAATTTTAAGTTTAATTACTTGATTTATAATTATGTATATATTTAATTGTTATTTTACTGGTTTATTTCTTAAATTATTAATTTTTTTTAATTTTTAGGTTAATTTGTTGATTAATTTATCAAATTATTAAATTTTGTTAACTATTAGATTAATTAGTTAATTAATTATAAATTAAATTGAATCACAATTGATTTTTAATTAATTAATTTAATTTTATTCATAATTAATTAATTAATTAGGTTAATTATATTTAATTATTTGAATAAGAATAAATTAGTTAATTATTTGGAATTTTGTTAATTAATTTTTTTAATTTTTCTTAACTAAGTTAATTTAATTTTTATTTTAAATTTAATTTGATTAGAATTAGAATTAATTAAGTTAATTTATAATTAATTAATTAATTAGGTTAATTATGTTTAATTAGTTGAATTATAAATTTATTTATATTAGAAATTGTTGATTGATTGTTATGTTAAATTTAATTTGGTTAGAATTAGAAATAATTAATTTAATTTAATTTAATTTAATTTATAATTAATTAGGTTAATTATATTTAATTAGTTGAATTAGAATTTTATTTATATTAGAAATTTTTAATTAATTTTTATTTTAAATTTAATTTGGTACAATTAGAATTAATTAAGTTAATTTGATTTACATAGAATTAATTAATTAGGTTAATTATGTTTAATTGGTTGAATTTAAAATTTACTTATATTAAAAGTTGTTAACTTATTTTTTATTTAAATTTAATTTGGCTAGCCTTATAATTAATTAAGTTAATTTGATTTATAATTAATTAATTAATTAGGTTGATTTTGTTTAATTGGTTGAATTAAAAGTTTGTTTATAGTAGAAATTATTAATTAATTATTATTTTAAATTTGATTTGGTTAGAATTAGAATTAATTAAGTTAATTTGATTTATATTTAATTAATTAGTTAGTTTAATTTCATTTAATTGGTTGAATTAAAACTTAATTTATATTAAAACTTTTTAATTTATTGTTTTTTTAAATTTAATTTGGTTATAATTAAAATTAAATAAGTAAATTTGATTTATAATTAATTAATTAGTTAATTTAATTGGTTGAATTTAAACTTCATTTAAATTAAAACTTGTTAATATATTATTATGTTAACTTTAATTTGGTTAGAGTTAGAATCAATTAAGTTAATTTGATTTATAATTAATTAATTAATTAGGTTAATTTTGTTTAATTTATTGAATTAAAAGCTTATTTATATTAAAAATTGTTAATCAATTGTTGTTTTAAATTTAATTTGGTTAGAATTAGAATTACTTAAGTTAATTTTTTCTATATATAGTTAATTAATTAAGTTAATTTTGTTTAATTGTTTGAATTAAAACTTAATTTATATCAAAAAAATTTAATTTATTAATATTTTAAATTTGATTTGGTTAGAATTAGAATTAATTAATTTTATTTTTTTATATTTAATTAATCAATTTGGTTAATTATATTTAATTGGTTAAATTAAAATTTTATTTATATTAAAACTTGTTAATTTATTGTTATTTTGAACTTAATTAGCTTAGCATCGAATAAGGAGATTCGGCAAGGTTATGACAATTACTCACAATTATTTGCAGTTATCCAATTGCTAAACCTCTACTTAAAACACTATTTTTCTAAAAAGTGTTACGACGAGATATATGGGTTGATGAAGGAGTTAATGTCGATTGATAGGCTGCTTGATAGAATTTTTATAGCATCAAAAAGTTGGTGAAAGGGATGGATTTATCGATAGAAAAGATTCACTATTGTAATAGAGGTTGTATGATTAATTGGATAACGACGGTGAATTAACTACTTGTAAGTTCTATGAACATTCTTGATATCAAAGTCTAAGATGGGGATTCATAAGAGAAAAACATGTTTCATTCACAAAAATGTATGACTTTTTGCTTACCCTATGTTTGTAAAGATTATATATATCGAATGCCATAGTTGAACATATGATATGACACGTTTGACATGAGATAAGTGATAAAGAAGTCATTTCTTTGAATTTATTGTATGTTGGTGTTTTGATCAAATACATCATTGTTTTGCATTAGAAAGAAGAAATTTCAAATTAGGAGTTTGCATTGACAAGTTTAAATTTTTCGATCAATATAGTGCTCAATATTCTTCTTTGTCGGTAATGTGATGCCTAATAATTTGTCACCAAAGATATGTATGAAATAAGAATACATGTTCTTAATAGTTATTTTTTCGGACCATCAAACCCAAAATATAATTAGGATATGTTCTTACGAGCGTATGATTATGAAGTTGCTTTATTTATGGAAAGTTGGTATGATGATTTTTATCGAAAGTAGAATTTTCTATTATGTGTTGTTATGATTTGGATAATCGGTGACTTCCCTAAATATTTGATTTTCTATGGTTGGAGTATTATGGGGAAATTTTACATGCCCTTATTGCATAAAGAATTCTAATGCTTTCGCCCTTTCGCAATAGAAGAAAGATTTCATAGCTTGATAATCATCATAAGTTCCTACCTAAAATCATCCATTTAGGAGGAACAAGAAGTTGTTTACCAAAAGTAAAGCTATGAGGAACAACCCTCATCTAATCTAATATGGAGTAGAGATTTTTTAGTTGATAATAAATTAGGGGTTAATGAAGGTGACGAAGAGGGTGTAGATCGGTACAATAGTAGAATATTGTAAATGTCACGGTTGGAAAAAATAGAGTATATTCCGAGATTTTCTATATTAGAGTACTAATCTCATTCGGCATAATCCGAATGTTATGCATATTGAAAAAAAATTATTTGATAATGTGTTTAACATAGTAATAATGTGCCAAGGAAAAAAAAGATAATACAAATTCCATAAAAAAAAAGATGTGAAAATTTTCTATTGGATGTCGAATTAGCAAGGGAGGAAGCCTCGGAAAAGTACCTTAAAACAAGTTTTATGCTTGACAAAGAACATAAAACAAGTATTGCTTGAATGGATCAAACAATTCATGCTTCTAGATGGATGTATTTCCAACATGGTTAGATGTATAGATATGAACAAAGTTAGATTGTATGGGATGAAAAGTCTTGAGTACAATGTTTTTATGAAGGTTAATATACCTATTACATTTAAGGAGCTCTTGTTAGGAAATGTTTATTAAGCACTTACCGAGTTGAATTGGTTTTTTATAGACTAGACTTTAACTACAATAAGGGTAGATGATAAGATGCATCTTGAGGCAATTATATCTTTAATTCCGAATAAAATAAAGCGTCTATTCCATGAGTTGAGTTTGTTTTTTAGAGACTTGACTTCAACTATGATAAGAGTAGATGATATTATGCATCTTGAGGTAAAGATATCTCTAATTCTATGTAAATTGAAGCTTATATTCCCTTTTAATTTTTTTTGACTTTATGGAACATCTTTCAATCCACTTGTCATATGAAGTTAGGATTATGGGACCGGTGATGGATGTATCCATTTAAAATGTATTGATATTGATTTATAATATTAAATAAAATAATTTTATAACTATTAATCATCAACCAACTTAATGTTTTAAGTAGCTTCGAAAGGTTAAAAGCAATGTAAAGAATAAAGCAAAAATGAAAGGATCAATATATAATGTATATTTAGTTGAAGAAGCCTCTTTATTCTATTTGTATTACTTCGAACGTCATGTGAATACTAGGCATAAAAAAGTATTGTATAATATTGACTATGATGGAGAATCAAGTGACCACATTGAAGGAAAGGATGCTTTCCATATTCAAACAATAAAGTTGACC